TTTTTTTAAGCTGGAGACCATGTGGATATATGTAGAGCTTTGTACATATCAGGTGTTTGCCTCTCTGTTCTTAATAGAAATTGTGGCATTTCCCACCACCTGACTTTACTTGAACTGCTGAGGATCACCTAGGGCTTACTGCATGCTAAGCAAAGCACTTTACCACTGAGTTACATCCATAGCGCCTTAAGTTATATTCATGTTTCCATAATAATAGTTACTTATACAGGCTTATAATCCAGTAAAAAACAAGCCTCAGAACTTTTCTCAGTCATATCCAGACGAAAGTATCTTGGTTATCGTTAATTTAAATTATGGAAATGATACAGATAATCTTTTTGGAAAATAAGATACTTTTCTTGTTAGATTGACAAGGTTTGATAACATGATAAGGCCTAATTGGGCAGAGATTTATGGAAATGGTCCCTGTCATAAACAGTTGAAGGGTTTTTAATTGAAACATAAGCTTATCAGAGGCATCTTCATAATATAATTGAATAAATACATATTATTTACTCAATTTCATTTAGAATTAATATTAAGGAAATACTGAAAGTGCACAAGATATGTATATAAAAACACATGGCTCTCTATATATAAATTTGGAAATAGTCTACGTGCCTATAACTAGAGGATTGGCTAAATAATACTGACAAATCTTAAATACTGGACTTTTTTGCAGCCATTTCAAAGTGAAAGGTAGATCGTTACATGCTGACACTGGGAAAGGTCCATGGACGTGTACTAAGGGAAAAAAAGGCACTACATAGCTAGATTATAATATGAATAGAATCACATGATACAGAGGATAAAAATATATGCATGCATTAGAAAATCTAGAGAGACATGTCAAAAATACTAAGTGGGATTTTATTGGAAAATTTTTTTCCATAATTTGATTTTTCAGCATTTATTGGAAGGTGTTTTATGTGATGCTTTCTTGTTCTTTAAAGAATTCTTCTATGTTATTTTCTATCATAAATTTATGCCTGGGGCAATATATATTAATACAGTGTGGTAGATATTTGCTTAACAGATTAGTTATGCGTTCCTATATGTATGAAGCATAGTAGTTCTAAGCACTAGGGATAAAACAGGCAGAATCCTTCCTTATGTTTAGGCCATGTTAAATCTTTTTCTGAGTCCTGTAACAACATACTAGAGCCTGGGTAGCTTATAAATAACAAGTTTATTTCTCATAGTTTTGAGAAATATGAGAAGCTTGGAAGACTGCAGTCAAGGTTCTGGCAGATTCAGTGTTCAGTGAGGGCCCACTTTCAGGTTCATACAGGTCACCTTCTTCTGTGTCCTTACAGATAGAGAAACAAGACAGCTATCTGGTCTCTGATAAGGGTGTTGATCACATTGATAAGGGCTCCTTCCTCATCCTTGTATCCTAATCACTCCAAAATAGTGCAGTCTCCTAGCGCCATCACATTTGTGACTTAAGTTTCCATGTAAGATTTAAGAAGTAGTCATCAGGTCATTTTTTTTTTTAATGAGGGACTTTACATTCATACATATTGTTCTTTTAAGGTATAGTCCAGTGTTTGGGCAAGGGAACTTTGTTTTGGAATATATTGCGATTACTCAAAATTTCAAATCAAAATATTTTTACTAGAAACTTCAAGTGCTATAAAAATAAATAAAATGTGTTAGAAATATCTATGCTTTAAAAATTTTAATGGCTAGCTTTAAGTATTTAAAATGTCTTATGCATTTTACTAAAATCACTTTTTCAGAAATTGCAAATTCTTCTACAGGTATAGAATAAGCAACCAATAAGATGCCTATTTTCTTTTTTACCACTTACTTTTAGCATTGCCAGTTTAATATATACCTATATTTTTAGCTTGCTGAAAAAAATACAGTTGGTGAGGTAAAGAAGATTTTCTAAAATGTTGTTAGATTCTCAGTTCATGAGTAATATATGCTTTGTAGTAAATAGTATTGTATATTCAGCATTTTCAAATAGTTATCTTGTTTTCTTTGCCATTTTCAGACACCTGAATTACGCTTTAATATTTTATTATCTGAGACTCATTTAGGTGTGTCATTTATTATAATTTTGGTGAACTTTTTTATGGGGGGGTACTAGGGATCGAACTCGGGTCCTTGCACTTGCAAAGCAGGTGCAGGAACCACTGAGTTAGATTTCCCAGCCCTTGGTAAACATTTTGATATCATTAACCAAATATTATGCATTTTTATCTATGTTAGTGAAACAACACTTTGGATTATTTCCTTTAAGAAAGAAATAAGTGTATTGAGTCTTAAAATGTTATTCTTTGTTTTACTGAATATACTTAGAATAACGCAACTCAATATGGTAAAATTCTAGGTTATATAGTCATTTAGTGTTTGTTCAGGCACAGATTATTTTAAAGTAAAGTTTATTTTAACAGCATTCTAAAATGATTTCTCAGACCATAATTCAGTAAAAAAGAACTATCAAAAATTACTGCCATTAAAGGCATAATTACTTTATAAATTGCCATTGATGCTGTAGCTCATGCTTGTTTATAGTTTTTAATCTCTTGATTCCCCAATTAACCCTGGTACAGCTATTATATTTATAATTAAAAGAAATTGTGATGCAAAGAAGTTTTTGTGTGTGTGTGTGTGTGTGTGTATTTTTTTTTTTGGTACCAGGGATTGAAATCAGGTCCTTGTGCTTGTGAGGCAGGTGGTAGAATCACTGAGCTAAATCTCCAGCCCAAAGTGCATCTATTTTATACCCTAATTGGTTGAGACGGAATTCTGACAGAAGCTTTCCCCACCTCTTTTGTGTGTGTGTTCTGTTCATTTTGTTTATGATTTCTGATAATTCATTTATTTCTGAAATATTTCTGGAAAAGATAAATGTATCTCTTGATTTTTCTTATTCCTCTTTGTAAGTTTACATTTCTAAAGGAACATTTGCTGGATTACCAGTGTTTAGCCACCTCCCTTTCAGTACTTTAGCAGTAACTGTCAAAGCATATTGGAAAATAAGGTAAAAATAGCCATAACTGGTTTTGGCATAATTATTTTTAAGTGACTGTGAATTCTCAGATTTTTAAGTTTTAATTGCTTATTTCCTTAACTGTAGCAGCTTTTAATTTTCAGAGCATTTTCACTTATTTCCTAACTAGATCTGAGGTATACTGTAGGTATTAGAATTATCTTGTAATTGAGAAAGTTTGCTAAAGAAAGGTAGTGCACCAATTACTCTGATTTACAGCAAGAACTAGAACTTGTATTTTAAAGTTTAAAATATCCTGGCAGCTGGGTGTGTAGCTCAGTGGTGCAGACCCTTACTTGGCATTTGCAAGACCCTAATTTAGTGCCTAACACCTCAAAAAGAAAAAAAAAAAGAATGAACGAATGGATGGTTGGATGGAAGGGCGTGAGAGAAGGGGTAGGAGAGTCATTTTATTAATGTTAGGAATAGCAACAACTTTTTTTTTTAATTATGGAAAGGAAATCTTATAAAGATTTCAGCCTTTAAAATTGCGAGTCCTCCTATACTGTCTTATTTTAGAATAAGTTTAACTATTAAGCCATTTTACTTGGCTGTAACTGTTCTCAAATTCATGTCACATTAATGGAGAAAATAATAGCAAGTTGTTATCCTATTTTTTTATTGGTACATGTTTGAAATACATGGATTTGTCTTGGAGTGGGTACATGTACTCAGCATTATTGATTCTTTTTGTTCCCCTCCCCATTTTCATCATCATCATCATCCATGTTTATAACACAGAAAGATTGTGCTCATTGAGGGTAGCTGGTACATGTGCATGACACATCTTAAATTTTTTTATATTTTCTCCCTCCTTTCCCCACTGTCAGACTCTTGGTCCCCCTCCATTTGCAAAAGATTCATCTCCCCGTTTCCTTTCATCTCTTTTATTTTGCTCTTTATTTGTACTTTGAATAATTTTACCCAAATAACCCCACTTCTTTTAAAAACAAAACAGGACTTTGTAATCTGCTAAATTTCAGTTATCTAACATGTTCATTGTAGAAATTTTGTGAGCATGTCTTTAGGAACTATCATTGGCTAGGAGTATCCACCTAAGTCTCCTATGGCTTAAATCTTTATAAAGGAAGTGTCAGATTCAAGCTACTTTGTTTCATTCAACAAGACCATGGATGACTAGTATTTTTTTCTATCCACTGTATCTTTAGCACAATTTTTGCTATATTCTTTTTATTTTAAACATGCAAAGTAAGATTTATGTCAGTTTGTATGTTTTCCTAATTTATTTTCAATGTATTCATTCTTATTATTAAAAGCTTTTTTGAATTGGATCTCTCTTCTACATGGGGGTGGTAGCCTTCTAGTTCTTCCTTGGTGGCTTTCAGTAAGAAAGCCCATCTGATTGTATCGTTTGGTTTCCCCCCTAGATTTCTATTTTTTTTATTTTTTTTATTTTTTTGGTACCGGGGATTGATCTCGGGTCCTTGGTGCTTGCAAGGCAGGCCACTGAACCGCTGAGCTAAATCTCCAGCCCTGCCCCCTAGATTTCATACTGTTTTGTATTTGTGCTTTTTTTTTTTTTTTTTTTTTTTTTTTTCC